GGTCTCGATTACACCTTGTCAGTTTTGGTCTTGATACAAAGCAGGAAGCCGTGCAAGTACCGTCAACAAAGGCGTGTATACAGTCCGTTCGTGTGAAAGGGAGGCTCATAGAAATGAGAAAAATACGGACGACGGGGCAGGAGGGGGTAAGGTATGTGCAAAGAATGCATACGGCTGTAAAACTTGCAAATATACATTCCTTGGAAAATCCCAGTACAAGTCACGTAGTCCTCGGTAGGATTTGGTAAGGTCAGGGGTGGTGGGTGTAAAGAATCTTATTCGTGGAATCCTATTTGAGTCTCTTCCATATCACAGACATTTCTCCGGGGTTTTAGGGAACGGTGGAATCGTTGGTACCGCGACATTTTGAAAAAAGAAAAAGAACGAAGCACCTACTTTTCCCCTTTTCATCTTCGTCCTCTGATTTTCAAAGGATTTCATAATTACAGAGCGAAACTTTGACGTCATTCCGAGTGTGCCAGTTGAAAAAGTCCTGCAGTCTTGTGAAAATTCTCCGTGATGGGTATATATTTCTTATTTTAGACTATTTCGAAGTAGTATATTGAAAATGTTATCATTTAATTCACCACCAATCTCTCCATCGATTCTATAAATTCGTATCATATACATTTTTTCTGAATTTGCGGTTTTGAATATCGAGTACGTTAACCTTTTATAGATTATTTTTCAGAATTTTTCAGAATAATGGAACTGTTGGGAATGTTGTACTTGACAAGAAAAAAATACAAAATTCCTACTTCTCCCCTTTTCTTGTCCGACCTCGATTTTTTGGGGGACTTTTTATTAGAGCAAAACTTTTACATTCCGAATACTGCAGTTAAGGAAGTCCTAGAGTGATGTGAAAATTTTCCATGATGTGTATGTTTTTAAAAATTTAATCCGTTTTGAGGTAATAGGTTGAAAATATTATCATTTGATCCATTATCTATCAATCCTATAAGTTTATATCGTATTGCGGTTTCGAATACCAACAACACTATCGATTTTTTTCAAAAATTCTAGAGAATATTAAAATTGTTGGGAATGTCGTACTTGGGAAGAAAAAAATTCGGAGTGCCTATTTTTCCCCTTTTTATTTCCAACCTCTAATTTTCAGCGGATTTGTTAATTACAAAGCAAAACTTTGACGTAATTTCTTATGATCCAGCTAAAGAAATGCTGTGAAAAATTTCCATGGTGGGTATATTTATTATTTGAGTCTATTTCGAGGTGATTTTTTTTAAACAAATGTTATTTGTTCTGTCGATCTAAGAATCCTGTGAATCTGTATTATACACCAAACTTTTCTCCGAGAATCTAGAGAACAATTTAATCGTTGGCAATGTAGTAAAAAGATAATAAATACTAAGTATCTACTTCTCTCCTTTTCATTTCGGTCCTCAAATTTTCAGAGGATTTCTTAATTTTACAGCAAAACTTTGACGTTACTTCGAGTGCTCCAGTTGTAGAAGTCCTACAATCCGGAAGAAACTTTATACGAGTGTATATATTATTCATATATATTTCAACGCACATAGGAAGAGGCGTTGTCAAATTCACCGCCACAATCAACACTTGTAATAATTTCTCATAAAAAAATTGCAAACTATTTTCTCCTTTATTCACTTCCGTATTCTGACTTCCGTAGGATATCTTAATCACACGGAGAAACTTTGACGATACTCTGAGAGTCCTAGTTATCGAAGTCTTGAAGTCCTGAAGTTCTGAGGAAACTATCCACGATGTGTATATGTGTACGGTGTTTCCGTCTGTTTCGATATAATTCGGTAAAACTATCATTAGATCAGTCCTATGATCCGTATCATATCGCAGATATTTTTCTAGAATTTTAGAAAATAATATAATCATTGGTAACAACAGTTTTCTAAAAAATAATTCCAAAGTACATTTTTTATGTTTTCTTCTACCCTCTAATTGATAAAAGAATTTCCTAATTACAAAACATTAATGTCGCATCGGAAATCCCAATTACAAAAATCTTAGAAGCCTGAACATTTTTAATTAATCAATACTAATTAAAATTCTAGAATCTTAACTCAACTATTCACAATAATTATAATTATTATCTCCATTTATTTCACGTAGGGAGAAATATGATTCGGTTTACCATCGATAGGTTTCTTTATATCACTAATTTTCCTCCAAGACTTAAATAAAAGACCGAATCCGTTTCCGTGAACATTTTTAATTATTCAATACTGTTTAAAATTCTAGTCTTGAGTCAACTATTCACAATAATTATAATTATTATCTCCATGTATTTCACGTAGGTCAAAAAATATGACTCGGTTCACCATCGATAGGTTTCTTTATATCACTAATTTTCCTCCAAGACTTAAATAAAAGACCGGATCCGTTTCCGTGAACATTTTTAATTATTCAATACTGTTTAAAATTCTAGTCTTGAGTCAACTATTCACAATAATTATAATTATTATCTCCATGTATTTCACGTAGGTCAAAAAATATGACTCGGTTCACCATCGATAGGTCTCTTTATATCACTAATTTTTCTCCAAGCTTAAAGAAAAGACCGGATCCGTTTATATGGCAATGCTTTTTCAAAGGAAATACACGGAGTATCATTTCCCTTCTCAGTTCCGTCCTCTGATTCCCAGAGGACTTCTTAATCACTGAACACAACTTTGACGTCACTTTGAGAGTCCTAGTTACAGAAGTTTCGAGGAAACACTGCGTGCGTTCGCATATACGGCGTGTGTATATTTATCACTCCCGTCCATTTCGGTGCGCAGTGTTCGGAAAAAGTGTCATCCGAATCATGACGTGTCATTTAGCCACATAGTTACTTTCTATTATACATTCTATTGTACATATACCGCGTATAATCCCACCAAGGTCTGTTTTGATCCTCCCTTGTCGTGGAAAGTACCAATGTGACAAGTTTATAAGCACGCCCCGTCACGCGTCAAAGTTCTATCAGGATCGGAACTTGGAAGCGGTTCGAACAATACCGCAAATCAACTCAAGGTAACGTTCGTCATGTCATATGATTCGTGACAATGGTGGCGATGAATCCATTCACCCAGATAATTGGTTCTGACAATTTGTGGGAGAAAGTGGTGTTAACTTTAATGCCACTTGTTCTAAACGATCTAGTAGAGATTTATCTGTTGTCTCGTTATGGAGTCCTTTGAGATAAGCTGGTTAACTTCCTATTTTCTCCGTCCTATAACAAGTACGTACCAAATCGCTAAAAATATTATCCTACTAAAAATCCTACTTTAATATTTTTCGACCAATAATCGCGAAATTTACGTCTTGTATCATTTTTAAATGCAAAGAAAAAAAAATTCTGAAATTCTAGATTTCACTACGACGCGACAATAGCGACATCAAAATGATCAGATAGTATCTGGTTCTTGAATTAATTTGTTTACACCTGGATGTAACATATTAAGTAGTTAAAAGTAACGTCAAGAACTATTACAGATTTTAATAATGACCAATAGTGACCGTATTCTAAATTAATTTGGCCGTTCGCTCATGACAAAGTTGTCCGAAGTTATTTCGTTTGAGTTTAAAATTATTAATTCAACCGCCTTGGGCAAGGGTTAAAAATGATGGTAGGGATAGAAAAAGTACTTTTCCATATAATCATATCATTTTTACCGACAGAGCGGGTGGTATCGACATATCGACTCCCCAGGCAGGGCTCGCAACCCCCGGGAGTCGGCGTTCCACATCGGAGGCCATTCGCGATCCGCCTTCAGCAGCCAGCGGAGCCCTCGACAGGAGCGGGCGTCGAGAGGGTGCCGCCAGGGGTAGCCAGGGTCGTCGTCGTGGCCGTGCATGGGCGTAGACGTCGCGCCTTGGCGTAACGCGTTGACTCGCAGCCCTTACTCCACCCCCGACAATCGACGTTCGCCGTTTGCGTTTATCGAACGATTGCGCGCGCAGGGAATCGGAAGGGGCGTACATCTTGGGCCGCGGAGAGGCCGCGGGCGAGCGCACAGTGAGGTGCGACGAGAGTGCAGCAGCTACGCCACTACGGTGTAGCTACGTCGCCGCACCGAGACCCAACAGGGGGTGAGACATCCACCATCATCGAGGAGTTCGCGACAAGGAAGCAGGTGACAGGGGTCAATCCGTGAGAAAGTGAAGCAAAGTGCAGCGCCAAAGGTACGGCAGAAGATAGCAGCGAATAAAAAGAAGAAATCCGAGGAAAGGAGTAAAAAAGAGATCAGGAGGAGAGGTCCCCGGGTGGAGTCTCAGGGGGAGCTCGAGAGAGGTCGGGGAACGAGGGAAGAGGCGAAGGGCATCAGGTGCAGCGGAGGAGGCCACGCGCACGGGACCTCGAGGACGGAGCTCGATGCCGCTCTAGAGTGCGCATCGTCTTCGCCCGAGCACTTCGTCGAGGTCTAGGGATCCAGGGGCTCCGTGCGCTGCCCCGAGGTAGCCGCCCCTGGTGGCGGGTCGCACGGCGACTTCGGGGCCGGAGTCGAGGGCCACCTCGCTGCGACTCGCGGGGGCAGCTCCAGGAGGGCCGCGACAGGTTGGAAGACGAGCGCGCGACGTCGGACTCCGCCGGTTTTGGGTATTGATCGACCCGCCTCCGGGCGGCCATATTCGTTCCCGCGCTCTCTCGCCGCGGCGAAGAGCGCGCGGAGGCGGTTTCCCGCTCGAGGGAAGAAGTCAGCAGGCTGGGAGGTCGGCTGAGCGAGGTGGTGGGTCCCGTCGTGGAGGAGGCCATAGAGCCGGGGGATGCGACCTCGCTGACGGGACCCTCGAGGGAGACCTCGGTTCCCCGAGCGCCCCCTCCTCCGCCAAGGATAGCGTCTCCTAGCCCGGCGAGACCTCCGCCCCAGCAACGACGACACTCGCTTCAGCAACAACACCAGCAACAACACCACCCGCAACCCCCCCAGCAGCCTCACCCGCCGCCGCCACCCCCGCAGCAGCCTCCCCAGCAGACCCAGACCGCTCAACAGCAGACCGACGACCAGCACAATACCGCCAACATGGGAACGGTTCTCTCTTTTAGCCCCAAGGAAAGGAAGGGCTCCGTGTATCCCGCCACTGGACACCAGCAACACCCTGCCGACTTCACCCTGAACAACTTCAATTACGAGCAGCTCAACAACGCCAAAAACCGAGAGAACAAGAGCGCCGCTGCCGTCGCCCCCGCGCCCACGAACCAGCCCAACAACAACAGCCTCCAGAACAACAACATCAACCTGAACAATGACAATGCTCGCATCATCTCCGAGAAGAATGCCCTCGAGAAGAACCTCAAGAAGCACTCGCTGTTTATCAATGCTCTGTCTTGGAAGCGGTTTAGCACAACCAATAACAACAAGAAGAAACTCGATAATAAGAACAAGAATATCACGTTCAGGCAGACACTCGATAACCTGCCGATCGTTGACAAGAACAAGAATATTCAGACGCCACAGGTGAGTTTAATGTCGTTGTTTGTTGGACTGTTTAGTTGTTCCCGTGGATACGTTTTTGAGGTTGGTTAGGTCAGTGGATGTTGAAAAGAAGAAGTTCAAGTTTGTCGTGTTTATGTCCACTTCTTTTCATCGTTTTTCTTGGGTTAGGGAACATTTTTTGGTGGGGACAATTTTTCAAAAGAAGAAAAGGGTATTTTGAAAAATTGTTGGAACGAAAAAGAGGTTCTTGGGGTATTGTTGTACTCAAGATATTTTTCCGTGTGGGTGGGTGGGGGTGGTCTCTAAAGGGAGCTTTCAAGTATCGATTTAATGTTGCGAGGTACTGTAGGGAAGACTTTGATTTCCGCGAATGAATAAGTTTAAAGAATTATGCGAGTTTGGTCACGTGAATTGACGAGAAAATCGCTGAAATTGCAGACCGCACATTACTGGGGAGCATTACCGAGTGTCCGCAAATGGCGGCAGCCATTACGATTAGCAATCACACGTTTTTCTCGGTGGATTGTAAACTCGAACATGTCGTGACAATCCCTGGACTGACACCGATCATCGATCTCGCGAAAAAAAAACGTACACGACGTAATCTAGCCATCTCATTGATTTTTTCTTCAAAGACATATGTATACATCAAGTGCCATTATCCACTCTTCTTCTTCAGCCTTAGCGGAAACATTCGAAAGCTGATCTCGCAACGGGTTAAATTTGCGCTACTTTTTAGTTTTAACATATCCAATCAATGCGTGTTTACATTTTGATCTGCCATAGCAGGAGAAAGGATTACTTGAATTCTGCTCCTTCACCACCTCGAATAACACCTGACTTTTTTGCAATTATATAAAAAGGGACACATCTCTTTCAACAATTCCACGGTCTCGTTGCGTAGATAGTACACCGAGAAAAAAATGTCATTGAACCAAATATCTGTTGAATAGCACTAAAGGAATATTTGATTTAATGAATTATTTTCTCAGTGATGTATATATACATAAAATCGTATTTCTTCCCCCTGTAATCGAAAGTACGCTCAACGCTAATTGGTCGTCATTCGATTTCAGTAACTATCAGGGGCAATGTAGTTGCATTAGTAATATCGATAAGTTATCCATCCCAGACTCCAGAGTAAAGTACAACCGAACGATAATTTATACCCTGGGCAATTACGCCGCGGGAATGTTAATCATGATTCCTTCCTCCCAGACTAAAGCACCGGCGTCGAACAACAATCACACGACACACAACCCGACCTGCGAGAAGCTGGTGCAGAAGCCTCTTCCTCCGGGACCCAAGAAGACGGTCATCCAGGCGTCCACCTCAGAATTGCTCAAGTGCCTCGGGGTTTACCTCCATGGGAAGTGCACGCGATTGCGGGACTTCCAAGCTGGAGATGCAGTCATGTGGCTCAGGACGGTGGACAAGAGTTTACTTCTTCAGGGCTGGCAGGTGGGTGACCCAATGGAGCCCAAAATGGGTACCGAGGAGGTATTCACTCAGAAAATCATGGATTTTAATGCGAGAAATCACTTGGAAACCGCAAGCAAAAAACACTGAAAATCGTTGAAATCACCAAAGCATTGACACAATTTTAAGGCTGATACATGTTACCGAATCGCATTGTTGTTTATCATATGCAATCAAAGGTAATCGATTTTCAACGAAGGAAATCGTTTTCACTGATTTCCGAATGAATAGCTCCTTGATGGATACACTGATAAAAATGATATTCCGGGGCTTAGATATCTAGGCAAGGGAGTAGAGTATGTACACGACATGTACATAACGTTTGATGTCAGCAAATTAAGATATTGAGACAAGTGGTCATGCACATTCTGAATAAGGAAACATCTAGAGACGAGTATATTTAGCCTCGTGAGTAACCATCAGACTTCCTCAGATAGTGTTTTACTTCGATGGGTCAGCTCTCAAATGAATCGCTCCACTTCTCTAACAACGATTTATCAAGTATAGTCTTCGGAGTTATGAGCAAGAGTTCAGACATACAAGTAGTTCCTGCTTTTACAAATTAATCGGTTCCCGGCGACCATTTAAAAATCAAAAATTTGTAAATTTCTCTATATACAACTTAATTTATCAATTTTAACAATGTTGGTCTTAAACGAAAGAAAAAGAATTAATAAGGCTATTCGTGTTAAAATGTTTCAAGAGTCTCTGAGTGATAGCATTTACCGTTTAAAAAAAATTAAATGGCGTCTATAACGTTGTTTAGAGTAAAGAGACGTGGCGCCCAGGTGAGAGTTATGAACTTGTCCGAGACGCTACCGCATCCCTTGATATAGAAATTCTGTAAACAAAAAAATCGCTCTTTAGTACAGAAATTCCGTGAATAGAATTCGTCACTTGATATAGAAACTTCGTTTAAAAACATGGTTCCTTTATATAGAAATTTCGTTAAAAAAATCGTCCCTTCTCATAGAAATACCGTAAAGAACAAAAATTGTTATGTGATAAGTGCGTGCCCTACTAATTTTTGACGCGTTGTTCCGCAAGGTAGAAGTCCAATATAAATAGCGAAGGGTCGGAACATACGTTCGAGGCACCATCGACGGTAGTTCCCCAAGTATAATAAAATCGAAGAGTCTACTGGCATACGTTCATGTGCCCGTAACGCGTTAGAAGAGAAGACCCTCTTCTCCCGTCCTGGTAGTCTCCAGGGATGCCACCCTGGGGAATCGAGCTCGTAACGAGAAGTAAGCCCGGCACGCCAATCACAATATGTCACACAAAAGTGTCCCAGTAAAGGGGTCGTGGGCCAAAACACGAGTTTCCATTTAGTGCACAAGGCGTATCGTCCATATGGCCTCAACCATTAAAGATCAATTACAAGAGAATCATTCATTTGGACGTCTCGAAGGCACTTGCACTTGGGTGCACCGCTCGGTGCACCGACAATAGGCCCTGGCACCTCGTCCATCATTTTTTTCCTTTTAATAAAAATATTTTGCCTCCGCCGCAACATCACCAAAAGCTCACTAGACTTTCATTCGGGCCCCAAAAAGGTGGGACGGTTCCCGCCCATTTTCGGGGGGATTAAAAAATGTTCCTCGACGTCATCCTCTGTCCTCGCACCCGCAGCCACCCACGCAACTCGGAACTCGTCGTGTACTCTTCCAGGGGACATTTGCATGAACACGCACACGGTATCCCAGAGTTCAAATTAACGTTTCGACCTTCGATATCGCAACGGAAAATCGATAAGCCCACGTGCACTGAGTCGCCGAGGTTGCGACGACAGAGGTAAACGACAGGGACGCTGCACTTACTCGAGTCGGTGTTGGTGTACCTTGTCCAGAAGCCAAATACTGCGCCCAGAAGTTATTCAAGCAAAGCACTGTTTCATATTGTGTTTCTGGATAACTCCTACCCATATGTGGCAGATTTGTAACACGTTACTATTTCTAAAAAATAAGTTATTATTTCTGCACTTACCATAGAATTTCGATTTTGAAGTACCTTGTCCAGAAAACAAAGACAAAAAAACTGTGATCCACTTTTCTTCATTTGTCATGGATTTATTATACATTGTTCTTGTCTTCAAAAGTAATGGAGTAGGTAGGATCACTGCACTTACTATGGAGAATTTATTTTGTTATATCTCGTTTAGAGATTAAGGGCAATAATATACTGTTATCCATGTAACGTTTATTGAACAGTCCTTTTTTCATACAGCATTTATATGGTACATTATTCCCACCTTTCAAAAATGATGAAGTATTATCATTGCACTTACCGAGAAAAATCGATTCTGTTGTACCTTGAACAGAAGTTGAGTGTACAGGAAAACGATGTATTTTATGTGATGTTTGCAGATTATCTTCTTTCATATGTCGTGGGCTGATGGTACGCATTCCTTATTTCTGAAATATAATGAAAAGTTTGTTTTACTACGGGTTTTATGGTCCGCTTTCAAATATCCACGGTTGGAACAGTAGAAGCAGAAAGTTTCACCCACACAACGCCATTAATGCACTTTCACCCCTATTTCGTAACACCAGCTTTACATGTAGGCTTCATTCCGGAATTCGCTGATACTATTGTTCTTCCACTCGCTCGGAGTATGCACCTTGTCTGCTGTCTGTTCCCTTTTGACGAGAAATAATGTACCTGCATTTCTTACGTGAGACGAAACCACATGTTAGGCTCGTTTCCTCGGAATACTGTATTAATTCGATTGATAATAAGGGAGAAGACATTGCTAATTATACCATAACAATATAGCATTTCTATAGGTCTGCCAAATACTTATCTCTTTGCTGCTGCTTCTCCTCCTACAAGTCCACCACAAATTGACTGGACTCTGTAAAAACAATTGCATTAATCCACCATTAATATCCTCCGTCGCGGCTTTGCTCGCGATATGTGCGAGTAGAAATTTGTATAAACACAGTTAACCCCTTTTCACTCTTTTAGGGGTTGAATGTCGAGAAAACCCCTTTCTAGTGAGCACCTGTTACGAACAAAATATACCCCCTAAATTTGTCGTTTCTAGGCTTAGCAGTTTGGGTTGGACAATGATGAGTCAGTCCTCTTTTGTATATAGATAAAACGATATAAATTACAGGTAAAGTTAAATTGAGCATCTGCAGGAACATGGCATTGTCTCGTGGAGATCCATCTCGTCTCGCTTTGAACCTCGTGCATATGTTCAAATATAGGCACAAAGGGCCTCATCGCCGGTCACTCCGGCCGCCATCTTTTTTTGCCAATCTCTGCGTATCGGACGAAACTGTGTCACGTGATCCTTCGACTGGTTCGGCCGATCGGCAGCGATGCGTTGGGGATGACTGATTAAGGCGCTCCTTTATCGAGGCCCTCGCGGATTTTTCCTCTTTTTTGCCCCAAGGCACCAGGTCGGGGACGAAGTGAAGCGCGAGAGGTTGAGAGGCACTGCCTCAAAGGGATGTGCAGCAATGCGGGGTAAAAGTGCGCAGGGGGAATAAGGGGTCACGTGTCCCATAAGAACCGCACGCGGCAACGTCGCAAAGCTGCCCTAAAAGGGCGGCCAGAAAAGTCTTGTCCATCGGGACACTCACCCCTAGAAAAGCTCATATTAATCGACGAAGGAGGGGGCATTCTACGAAATATCAGGAAACGCGAGTCCTAGTACCTTATTGATCATACTATTAGGACGTTCCTAGAATTCTGTCGTTTCCCGGCATTTATCGCCATTTTACCAATCTTACTGACTTACTTACGTATAATATCAAATCGTTACCCATATACATCGGGAAAATGTATAACAAGACGAATAAATTTTAGTTGTACATGAACCTAGTAGACTTTTACTTACTTCTACATTTTTCATTAAGTCGAAAGTACTTTTAATTACCTTAAAGAAATAATTCATTCAACCATTGAACATTTTATTTGAGTGAACTATCTGATCTTTAAATAGGCAAATTTATTTGATTTCAAGTACCTCATTTTTCTCGGTGTATTATACTATTAATAAAAATATTGTAATTTTGTAACTTTTTCGTGGAAGTTTTAGACTGACATGGTGTACCGATTTTATAACATATGTCAAAATGAAATTTATATGAGTTGAAAATACATCTATGACGTGATGTTATAGAATTATAAATATATTTAATAGGTTATAATGAATGTATACTGAAATACTTTTAAGACATCCAATTTATCATTTTACTGCAATCGTATGTATAAGTGTACGTATGAATATTTTTAACAATGTAACTCCTAGTGCTCTATTTGTGACTTATTTCAATCTCTGTCTATAAAAATGTCAGAATTTTTAAAATGACCTAATAAGGTATGGTTTAATAGAAGGTAGTATTGTTAGCAGTTAAACTCAATTAATTGTTCAATTATATTACTAATTCTTGATTTTAATAACACATATCACATCTCTGGCACGAATATCGAGCAATATAGAAATTTCGAATATTACATCGTAATTGTGGGTTATTCCACTCTCGGACATTTCAGAAATGTCGTTTTTATCTATTATAATATTCGTTTAAATCTACCGTAATTTCCGTTACAATTATTTGAAAACCGGGTGTAATACGGGTGTAATTAATATTGGCTCACTCCGTAATTGTCTCTTTGAAGCCAGCAGTACACGGTTAAAAATATTCATAAAACCCGTACACCTTCCGTACATAAAATCGCAATAAAATTGAAAACTTTGCGCTTTAAATTTGAATTAGTACACATTCATTACAAATCTGTAAATAAACGTACCTTCCATAACATCGCATTATGAAATTCCTACAACCATATTCCTAGGAAAATTCCTACAACCATGTACTAAATTTATAACATTTGTAAAATCGCAGTAAAATTATAAATTTGACATTTTAAAAGTGAATTGGTACCCTGAGAAAAAAAAATGTCATTGAACCAAAGCAATATGTTGTTAATGCACTGAATAATTATTTGACTCGAATGAACTTGAATAA